ACATTTAGTCACTTGTGTTTTTTTGTAAATATATGATCATTGAACTTGTTTGAATTGTTCATAAAATACCATTATGACCGGCTGATGTATGTTTTCCTGGCAACGATGTTTTTCTTTTGAGCACATTTAGTCGCTTATGTTTTGTTTTTTTATACATTTAGTCACTTATGTTTTGATTTTATACAGCTTTAGTCACTTATCATGTGTATGTTCATCATATGTTTGATTTTCTTAGAAGTTCAAGAACCAAGTTCATGTGTTCATCCAATAAAAAATACATAATTCATGTGTTTATCTAACAAATCTGAGTTACTAAGTTCATATAGAGAAGAAGAATTGATTATCTTGAGAGGTAATGGATTCGGGGAGTGTAAAGAATGGGACATGGTTTATGATTATGCATTCTACAATGACTTGGGAGATCCCAACTATGACCTAGATGATGCACGACCAGTTCATAGAGGGTCATCTAAGTTTAAGATATGATTAATTTTTGTTATTAGGCCTCGTTTTTATTGTTCAAATGTTGCTTATATGTTGCTAATAGAGCTTTTATTGTTTACAGATCCTAGATTTGAGAGCAGGCTTGCACTTATTAATAACTTAAGCATATATGTTCCAAGTGATGAAAGATTTAGGCACATAAAGTTGCCTTGCTTTCTAGTTAACTCTTCTTTCCTTGTTTCTGAACTTAAGGCTATACCTAATAGCACTCTTGATGAATTTGATTCTTTTGAAGATGAGTTCAAGGCTAGTATCAACCCTCTTAGCATTTGTCTTCTCAAAGTAAACTCATTTGGCTTGAATATTTAGATATTCATTTCTATGACTAATAATTTTTATTTGTTTGATTGATAATTGATGAATTTTGCCACTTAAGTACGTAGGAGTTTCCCCAACAAGCAAACTAGATTTCAAAGTCTATGGTAACCAAAAAAGTTCCATAAAACCTTACCATATTGAAATAAAGCTCCATGGATTAGAGATAACACAAACTTTTTTATTTTTTGAAAAAGGTGGAACTCTAAAAAAAACATGAGTGACTATATGTATGCAACAACAAAACATAAGTGACTAAATGTGTACTAAAACAAAACATAAATAACTAAACGTGTACAAAATCAAAACATCAGTGCGGAAAACATACATCAACCGGTTATAATGGTATTTTGCGAACAATCGAAATAAGTTAAATGATCTTATGTGTATAAAAACAAACATATATTACCCTTATAAGTCATAATCCCAAAAAAAAAACTTACATAGTTCCGCTTTTAACGCCCCAAAAAAATAATGTTAGGATAAAACTTTGTTTTTTTTGAAAAATTTATAAATGTTTTTGTAATTTTCTATAGTTTTAATGCTATATACAAACTCTATAGTTTGTTGATATTTTTTGTACTAAACAAGTTGAATTGTATTTTTTTGTATAATTTTGAAACTTTATTATCTTTCAAGTCATTTTTCTGTAAAAATTGTTAACTCAGCTATTAACTTCCTATAATCGATTTGTCGGTGATGGAAAAAATGTTTTTTTTTTTTTTTAATAAAATGATAATTTTAATGGTCATATGTAAACATGTGTTATGATTTATTTGTATTTTTTTGGGATAATGACTTGAAAGGGAACGAACTTTCGATTTTGTTCACATTTAGTCACTAAACTTTTTTTCGTTATCTATTTGCCACTAAACTATTGAAACTGTTCACATTTTACCCTTATGACCGGCTGTTACCGGTCATAAGGGTAAAATGTGAACAGTTTTAATAATTTAGTGTCAAATAGATAACGAAAAAAAGTTTAGTGACTAAATGTGAACAAAATCGAAAGTTCGTTTCCCTCTAAAAAGTTCAATGGTTAAATGTGAACAAACTTCCTATTGTATTATGTTTTAGCAAATTATTTATTTTTGTTTAATTGTAGTAACATTTGTTGATGAAGAAATCTATGAAATAAAAAAACAAAATGTAACATCCGGATTTCCAGGTATATAATTTAAGTATTTTTCTTTTGAGTTAAGAAGAGAGACTCGACGAGTTGACGCCTCAACTCATCAAGTAAGGTCGCGAGTGATGACTCAGATTAATGAATGGACTCGACGAGTCAGTGAGGCGACTCGAGGAGTCTGTGCTGTTGGCAAAAACCCTAAATCTTTGGGCCCGAGCCATATTTAGAGGCACTTATGGCCTTCAATTGCGACTACTTTTCCCATAAGTAAGAACCCTAGCGAGCTTGAGTGTGTAGAGTGAGAGGAAGAGCTATCTTGAGCTTTTTGGTGTGATTTTGCAAGAAAGGAGAAGAGTTCCAGCAAGAGGGACCAAGGAAGGTTATTGTTCTGAGTTATTCAAGCAAGGAGCTTCATTCTGAGGTACAAAATTGAACCCTTTTCCTTCCCTATTGTGTAGATTCCATTTTGGGGTTAGGGCTTGAATCACTTCATCTTTGGGGTTTTGAATGCCTCAAACCCCTCTTGCAAGTTTGTGTTATACATCTGGACCCTTCTAGGTCCAAAGAGCCGAGAATATGAAGCTTTAGTAGAGTAAACCTTGGGGTTTGAAGTTAGGAAGCATTTATGGGATTTTTATGGTATATATAGTTACTTTCATCTTAGACATAGATATGAAGTATTTTATATAAATTACGTGCTATGTGTGCATATTATTTGAATACTTGTTGTCTATGCTGGATGAACGATTTTATACATGTTTTAAAAGATTAAACGGTATATTTATTTTATATCTACAAATATATTGCGGATGAAACATTGGTAGATGAAATAGTTGGTGTGTGATGAAATAAAATGATGAGAGATATGTGATGATAGAAAGGTGATGATAATTAGGTAAATAGATGATGATGAATAGGTGATGTAGGATGAAAGGAGATACCATAACCTTAACCGACAATGTGGCGATGTAGTTATCTACCAGAGTATAGATGGCGACCACAAACTATTCTAGACAACCCAGTGGAAACACCAGCAGACCCATGACTTGTAGGTGATGCATTACGAGTTTAGGCGATGTTGTAACTACGTAATCATGCGATGATACTCTAACCCTTACTATGAATTACGAGTTCAGACGATGTTGTAATTACGTATTCATGGGATGTCACAAATTCCACATGTCAAACCAATGGTCATAATTCACATCAGTAAGAATGATTCATTTTTTTGTAAAAACAAAATCAGATTGAAAATTTTGATTTTTTATTTTGGAAAATGTCAAACCATTGGTTTTTTATTTCGGTTTCAGTTTTTTGTTTTTTTTTTTCAAATATATATTTAGGGTTTTGTTTTTTATTTATTTATTTATTTATTTATTTATTTTATAGATTTCTTCATCAACAAATGTTGCTACAATTTAACAAAAATAAATAATTTGCTAAAACATAATACAATAGGAAGTTTGTTCACATTTAGTCATTGAACTTTTTAGAAGGAAACAAACTTTCGATTTTGTTCATATTTAGTCACTAAATTTTTTTTCGTTATCTATTTGTCACTAAACTATTGAAACTGTTCATATTTTACCCTTATGACCGGTAACAGCCGGTCATAAGGGTAAAATGTAAACAATTTCAATAATTTAGTGGCAAATAGATAACGAAAAAAAAATTTAGTGACTAAATGTGAAAAAGACGAAAATTCGTTACCCTTCCAAGTCATTATCCATTTTTTTTTCTACTTAACAAAACTGAATATTTTTTTGTACAATTTTTGAACTCAGTTTATGCTTCCAAGTCGTTTTCTAAAACTAAAAGTTAAAAAACTATCATATCGACATATCGTTGTCGAACATACCTTAGTTGCCCTTATATTTCTTAATTTGGCATTTAAGGGTTCAACTTCTTTCCTACTTAGTCCCAGTGACAAAAACAAACAAAAATGTTACAATTTATTTGTATTTTTTGTTTTGATTTGTTTAAAAGGAGATCGGAAAAATATAAAACAAATCAAGTGACCCAAACTTGCTTGTTAAGACTTCATGTTGACCTCCTCGATTCCTCGTAGTTAAGACTTCATTTGGGCGTTAACGAATCAATAACTTCCTTGTTAAGACTTCATGTTGACATCTTTTTGGCGTTCTACTCAAAGATATTTGCGTAGATTTTTCAATGGAATAAATTATATTGTATACAATACAATTTATCAGGTAGCATTAAATTTCCTTTTTTATATCATAATAATTTACTTAGTTTTGACAATAATATGATATATCCCAAAAGATTACAAAAACCTAAAACGAAATCCATGGTATATCTTTGCCAATATATATGATCACCAATAAATTAAAAATAAAAAAGATGTAAAAATAAGCTCAAGTTAATGAAGTTTTGTATAAAAAAATAATTAATTATAAAATATAACAAAATATGCATAAAAGTAGGGAAATTGAGTATACTAACCAATATAAATGATAATTTTTCGAAAAATAACTATTTTCAAATTTTGGTTTTTTTTTAGGTAGTTTTTTTAAAAGAAACATCTTTACTTATATCTTAAAGGTCTATTTCGAAACATTTAATATCATCATTTTTTCAATCAAATGCTTGATTTTAATCCATGGTATCACATATATTATATATTTATTATGTTTCATTAATTCTTTTTTAAAATTTTAGTAAAAAACGATTTTCTCAAAATTTTGGAACTATTTATCATATTTCGGACTTGTTCTCTTAACTTCAAAAGTTTCTTTTGTTTTTTTTTTCGAAATCCGAAATGTCAATCTTGAATGCAGAATGTCAATCCGATTTTTTTTTTGTTAGAAAAAATCATTTTTGTCGGTTCGAAATTCTCCATTCCGTGACTTAATGATTATTTTACCAAAAAAAAAATGTTTAAATATACATTATGGTTAGATAATTCAATTTTCTTAAAATTTAAGTAAGTTAAATCATATAAAAAAGTAAAAAAAAAATAAAAAGCATAGAACTGAATCTTTATTTATGAAATGATTTATAAGTCATTGGGCTAAAAATATATTCTGTAAATGGATAATCTTTACCGACATAAAAAAGATTCCCACGCGGAAACTTTGAACATACAACCCTTTATAAATCACCCACTCCATTTCTGTGCTTTCAGAATACGCTTGCTTTTGATCGTAACAACTAACAAGCAAATGGCACCTCTTGGAGGAATTCGCGAGTCTAAGGGAGCGGAAAACAGTCTTGAAATCGACAACCTTGCTAAATTCGCTGTCGATGAGCATAACAAGAAACAGGTATGCCTCATCTTTTCTCCAGTTAGTTTTACAAGTGCAGGTTTCGTTAGATGTCAATTTTTGAATAATCAAGGGTTCGAGATGCGTTGGACGAACATTCTGATCTTCGATCTGTGTCTATTTTAGGATATGATGTTTGAAATTAGGATTTTTTAGGGGCAAAATCTTCAGAAGTTTGATCGTATTTGAATTGTGTTTTGCAGAATTCAGTTTTGGAATTTGAGAAGGTAATAAGTACAAAGCAGCAGACAGTATCAGGCACTGTTCACCATATCACACTGGAAGCAAAAGATGGTGGTGCGAAGAAAACTTATGAAGCCAAAGTGTGGGTGAAGCCATGGATGAACTTCAAGGAACTTCAGGCTTTTGGGCCTGTTGATGCTGCAACTTCATCTTAATTAAATATTTAACTTTCCTCTGGCTCTGGTAAATTCCTCCTATTCAGTGTGCTTAATTTTGGTTGATTGGGATTTGGGATTTGGGATTTGGGATATTTAGCAGAATTTGTTGGTCCAAATGCAGGTGATCAGAGTGCTGACGGTGTAAAGCTTGAATTTATTCAAGTCGATGTTTAAGTATTTCTAATTTTGTATGAATATTGTGTAAGTTTGGATTCTGTTGAACATGTATCTTAAAACCTTCTGTTAATGAAATAATTAGGGTATGTGTTCCTAATCTTACATTGGTTCTAGATTATAATACCGTGTATTCTTCTGTTATTAAAACTAGGCCTGAGACCCAACCCAATATTATATGGGTTTATCTAAAAAAAAATTAAATACGAAATTTAAAAATTATATATGAAATTTTAAACTAGACATGAGACCTAATATTATATGGATTTATCTATGAAATTTTAATATTTTGAATATTTTGAATTTATAATAAAAATAAAAAAAATTTAAATTATTAAAATTAATGTGACTTTAATATATATATATATATATATATATATATATATATATATATATATATATATATATATATATATATATATATGTGTGTGTGTGTGTGAAATTTTAATTTAACAAAATGAAAAAATACAATATAATGACAAGTGAAAATAAAAAATTTAAAAATTCTTGAAAATATCATGTATCCAAATTAAAAAGAAGAGGACATGTGGTAAAAAGATTTTTGATTTATTAGACCGGATGATATGTGTGGGGATTTTCTCTTATTTTTTGTGGGTCATACCATCATTTCTTTCACTTCTCTTTCCCTCACCTAAACCCAAGGAATTGGTGGAAAATTTCCCTCACTATTTTGTTTTTATTTTATTTTTTTAAATATAATTAATTATTTTTTATGATTTATAATTTTTAAATTAATAATAAACATAAATTTTAATTAAAAATAAAAAACATTTTATTAATTAAAATAAAAATTACATTAAACATAATATTTAAATAAGTAGAAAATTAAAAAAAAAACGCAAATAAAAAATCAAACACACAACACCATAGAATCCTAATTTAAAAAAAAAAAAAAAAGAACAAAATATGTCACTCGGAATCATCGTCCTCGTCATCGACCTCATCGTCTTCATTATTCTCCCGAACGTCACTCTCGTCATCGGAATTTTCGCTCTCGATGAACATATCAGAATACTCGTCTGATTCGTCAAACAAATCATCGTGAGAAAACTCAATCGGTGGCTGAATATGAGCCCTATAAATGTGCTCCACCAAATCAGCACGAAGGGCGTGATGAATGTCGCGATTGTGTACTTCTCTTTTATTCGCCCTATACTCTTGTGTACCAACGGCTACTCCTTCGGCATTTGGCAAAACTTCATTTTCGTTGTACCGACATATCGCTCTTCCTTCGTCTTCAAGAATCATATTATGCAATATGATACATGCATACATTACGTGCTGTAACTTTTTCACTTCATATGACCTTGCCCTGACTGCTAGTACTTGCCAACATCTCTTAAGTACACCAAATGTTCGCTCCACATTCTTCCTAGCTGACTCTTGTGCTTCTTTAAACTTTTTCCTTTTCAGATCGTTAGGATATGTAAACGATTTCACAAAAACAGACAATGGAGGATATATATCGTCAGACAATGGAGGATATATATCGTCAGTAAGATAGTATCCACGCTTATATGCTATCCCATTTGCTTGAAAATGTACATCGTGCAACTTTCCAATGTAGATATCGTTGAATATCAGCGACTGGTCTAACACATTGATGTCATTGTTTGCACCAGCTGGACCAAAGAATACATGCCATATCCAAAGATCATGTGATGGATAGCCTCTAGAACGATCGTCGACTCTTTGTGGTCGCCTTTCATGTACTGACCACGCTATGTGTTGGGGTATAATGACCAACCCTAATGCATACAATCGATACTATCAAGCATTCCAGGGAATCCATGCTTGCCTTCATGCACCGTGTGCAATTGGTGGACATCGTTCATAGTTGGTTTTCACAAATATTGTTGCCCATAAATCAAACAGATCGCTTTGCAGAACTTGTACACACACTCACGCACGATACGCTCTGACATCCTAAAATACTCGTCCCATTTGTCTGCGCCCATGCCGTATGCTAACTGACGAATTACAGCCGTACAATTTTGAATTGGAGAGAAACATTTTATCCGTCTCGCATCCATTGTCCATTGGAAATATGGAAAGCGCCCTTCCAAATCAACAAGAATACGTATGAATAATTCATTCCTCATCCGGAACCGACGTCGAAACTTTACAGTGTATATGGCGTCATCTGCAAAGTAATCTTCTATAAGACGATCGTGTCTGGCTTCGCGATTTCTACGCAACTGCGACTTTCTTGGTTTAGATTATGCACATGATATTTCGCCTAATCGGTTTTTGAAAGTATGCAACCGTTTTCGCCATAATGAAACCGATAAACTTTGCCTCTTCTAGAGCCCTCGAATCGTATGATGAAGATGATGACATTTTGATTAATATTTTTGGAGAGAATTATAAGGTATGGGTTAAAAAGTGGTCGGATGTTGTATGGTATTTATAGTTTAAATAAAAGGATATATATATATATATATATATATATATATATATATATATTAACGGTTATATAGCCGTTTGAATAAAAAAAGAACAAAAATAAGGACGAATGAAATGAGGAGTGAGAGCGCAACATCCCCACCCGTACCCTCCTTCCCGCGTATCGTTTCCCGCACACACGGTGCAGTGTTCCCGCATGCGGGAATCGTCCCGCACCCTTCCCCGCATGCCATACCGTCCAGTCTTAAGGAGGATAATTAAGGAGCCCGATTAAATAATGGTTTCCCATGACATGACCCATGGCATGCTCGTAAAGGCGAATAGGACTGGTCTTAAACGATTTTTTTTTTTGTAAATCCCTCGTAAAGAATGGTGGACAAAAAGAAAATTTGATACTGATTCAAAAAAATTAGAATTGTAACTACTTATAGGGTTAAATCTGAACTTTTTTTTTTTTTTTTTTTTTTTTTTTTTCTAAAAACAACATAATTTTGTGTTTTTTCCATTTTTTTTCTTCAAGATGACTCTTTTAACAAAGTTACCGGTAATCTTTTGGTTTTAAATTATTTTTCTTTTCAAAAAAATCCTAACGTTTTTTTCCTAAAAAACCTTTATCATGGACCAATTAAAAGGGTCATAAGGGAAAACATATAATCAGTATGTGGACAAATGAAAGATAATTTTTTTAACTATGATAAAAATATGTACTTCGACATTTAACACATCCATTTTGTATTTGATGTGGTCCGCAGACTGAATGTTTTAACTCGTGATCTGCAGATAACAAACGTTTCTTAAAAAAACAAACAATACCCTAATATACTAGCATGAGCCCTAAATCATATCAAAGTCATATATATATATATATATATATATATATATATATATATATATATATATATATATATAATATATATATATATATATATATAT